TTCCCCGGCCAAAGGAATGAAAACGGGAGAAATAAGGGAAATAATGATGAAAGAAAATTTATAATATTAAATTAAATCTTTATAATTTCCAAAAGCGAGTCTGATTTCTCACATTAAGTTTATTCGGATTCATAGCCTATATGAGCTGCACACTCCATATACTGTAAACCAAAAAAAAAAAAAAAAANATTTATAATATTAAATTAAATCTTTATAATTTCCAAAAGCGAGTCTGATTTCTCACATTAAGTTTATTCGGATTCATAGCCTATATGAGCTGCACACTCCATATACTGTAAAAAAAAAAAAAAAAAAAAAACAATAGCAACTCTCCAATCTAGTAACCACGAATAAAATAATTTGAATGAAGATAGGCGGTTAGGGCGCCATCTAATGATAAATTTAATAATCATAAGTAAATTTAATTTCCATAACAATTAATAATTTTCCAATACGTTATATTTAATTTATAAATATCAAATTAAATATATTAAATTTAAAATAGAAACACAAAAATTAATAGCATTTTAGAATAGAGTTTTAAAAGTTATTTTATAAAAATACAAGTATAATAGAAGCTAATAGATTTTAAAGCTAATAGATGGCGGTATACACAAAAAAATCCTTTAATACAGTAGCCACTCGTTATATCGCGGATTCGGATATATCGCGTTGTTTTTTAGTCCCCCTAATTTCAAAATCACTTCAGTCAATAAATTTTAAAATATCAATTGACATTGAATTTGTTTTGCAACAATATTTTATTCCAACCATTGTCCTTGAAACACCACTGCAGGTGAAACAATAAATTCGTCATGATCTAAATAAGCAAAACAGATGGGCAGATCAATTATCATTTATGTTTCTTTTTGATATTAAAACTTGTTTATTTATTGGTTTTAAGTGCATTCTCCTCATTTACAAGTTTATGTGAAATTTCGAATTTACTGCAAAATGCGTAAGAAAAAAATTTCTTTATTTCTGAAAGTTCTAAAATTTTTATACAGCATTAACACTTTATTTCGCTTTTTAAAGAATTTTTACTCTGTAATTTTATAAGTTTTGATGTTCTATTATATAAACATATAATTTTAATTAAATATTTATTTTTTAAATTTTCAATTACTGTATTATTATTGAAAAATATAAATTACACGAATTTTCAATTAGAAATTCATTGTGAAATATCGTACTGTATATTAAAAGCTTAACTGATATTTTGTTTTTATATGGACACTATTCGTCTTTAAATGTCATTGCTAATGAAACAATAACGTTAAATGTACGTTCGTGGTATCAATTAATACGATATAATTAAGAATAAAACTCAGTATTGTAACACTAAGCTTATTTTATATCAGGAACACTTGCTGATGAAAGAATAGAGGATAGAGATTCTATAGCATGTATAATCTGTTTAGCATAAATCCAGAATTTTTGGTACTCGGATATATCGCGTTTTTTCTTTGTCTTCCGACAAACGCGATATAACGAAAGACTACTGTATATTGAATATATCTCAGCGAGCTAGAATATACTATTTAGACTGGCTGTGACCATGGTTATAGCGCTCTTGGTGGCAACGACAAGTACAATCGACCGCCATTTCACTATGAGTCAAAACATTGTAGTCTATACTACATGTTGGTCAAGATTGTCACTTTAGAATCTATTTTTCTCTTCTAAAGCTAGATTGTTTTGCTTGCCTCTAGATTTCAGATTTAGACAATTAGATTAGTGATATAAATCTAGATTGTTTCATCTCGAATTTAGCTATTTTTTAAAAATTTTATTGAATTATTATAAAGAAGGGTCGATCAGAGTTTAAAGTGGTAAGCGTAGTACTTAACCCTAAATATAACAATATCTTTATTATCTAAGTATGAGCTAGGTCTTGAAGGACTTTCAAATTGTTTATTTATTGTGTACTCACGTCTGTCTGATCCTTACCATACTCAGTACGTTGTTGATTTTTTGGACAGTGTTTTCTTCTTTTGCAGAATATACTTAGTGTTCTTGTGTTTTTGTTATAGTTACAGTTTGTTCGTGAAAATTTTGATTTCAACTTGTAAAAATATTTACAATGAAAAACTACATTTTGATTTTTTGCCATGTCATTAATTTAACCACATTGTTGAAGTTAAAATCTTTCTAAGAGGTAATAAGCAGCTAGTAATCGTGGAAAATGGAAGAAGTGTTGCATTTGCCCATCAAAACTAGACAAAGAAAACATGCCAGTATGTGAAAAAGACTGATATGTAAAAACTGCATCATTAAAATGTGTAAAAATTGTGCACTATATTCATCATTCTGGATAACAAAAGTATATTAACATGAACTAACATTCTGTTCGTTATTTTGTAGACAACAACCTTAAGCTCTGGTCACACTATGCGATTTCCAGCCGCGCAGGCGACTGCAACCGCGACCGCTGTTCCCGTTAACTAGTAATCCCCCCTCGAAAACCGGCTCGACTGGAATCGCAAGTAGAAACAAAAAGTTTGTTCTACTCGCGACGATTGCAAACACGCATCCAATCAACAAACGCCTTTATGCCACGTCATACAGTGACAACATTGAAAATAGTTCATCATCATCGCGGATAGTCAGAGGATTAATACTTTTACAGAATCGAGATTGATCGAGCTTATTCAGGCTCACGNAGCCTGACTACAGGTTCTAATGAACATTACTAGACCGCGTGTTGATAAATACCTTGTTAGGAGTCTTGGGGTAGATCTAAGGACTTGGAGGATGATTCGTTGATATCCAACCACGGCGTCTTGGAGAGAATAGTTCACAAACGAGTAAGATAGTCCACAAAGAATATCCAACGAATTTCTAAATTTGGCCAACACTTGAGATTTGGTTCGAAAGTGGCAGGGATATTATGTAGTGAGTTCTTCTCGGGAGTGGACAACTAGACGACGACTGCCTGGATTTGTCATCGCCCTCCCAGGTTATTTGGGTTTCTTCTGGGTTTTTTTCCATGAGGTCAGGAGTCTGTTGTTAAGGGCCTTGCGTCCAATACTGGAAATTTATCGAAAGTTCCGGGTGACACATTAATGACTAGATAGATCATCCTCAACAAGGAAACAAGTCCGTGGGAAACAATTTTTATAATAGCTTTTGATAAAAAAAAAAAAATCGAAGTCAAACGACGAAATTGTAAAATGACCAAGGGTCAAGATAACACTTTCATCCATTTGTCCTTCACAACATCTTTATTAAGTCCGACCTATTTCGAGATATCTAACACATTACATTTCTCTACCGCCTCACCTCTTTAATATTAAGGATGCTTCTTATACACAAGTTATCATGCCAAGTTTTGTTTCTTACAGACGCCAACAACACACGTACAGGATTTTTTTTTTTACTTTTTCCGGTTCAGGAGATCTCATATCGTGGAAATTTTCAAAAATCTCTGAGGGTCCAATTTGACATAATTCCAATGCTTTCCCTTGTTAAGTATGTATAACAGTTGGGAAAGTAAAATTAAAAATGTTTAGAAATGCATTTAACTTATCGCTACAGAATATTTTGTCTTGTTTAGAAACGTTTAAATAAAGAGTTAACTAAAGAAAGAAATGTCTTGTTATTTACTACCAAAATGAAAGAAAAAACTTAAGTAGGATGATTTTGACTCGCGTCATCTCAGTTAGGGGTTAAAACTCTTCCTTTCCTTTGCACACTTTACACAGCGAGTTAGAATATTCTAGCTAGTAAAGGTATTCTAGCGTTGTGTAAAGGTAACGAAACGACCATTACACAATACAAATGGCATGCTCCCTTGACTAAAAGGAAAATGGTGGACGTGTATTCAATTTTCTTTAAACATGGCGTCGCTACAGCCACTTTATGTGGTGTATTTTAGTTCGTCGATTTATCTTTAGATATTATTACAAAAAATCATTTGATTTAAAAAATGTGTGAAATCAAATATCTATTTGAATATAAAAATATTAGAAAATGTATAGTAATTTTTAAATAAGCAAATAAGTGCTTTTTTTAAACTTGTAAATGAAATAAATTATTCTTCTTGTAAAATGAAAAATCCACAACAGAAACTTATTCGTGAATATAATTTCCAAAATATTGTTATTTGTATAGATTAGACTTAATAATACTGAAAACAACTCTAAGATAATCGCAATATCCAGGCTGCATCCGAATGGCAACAATTTCGGGCTCAGGAATATAGCCTATACCAAATACTGTATATATATTATATAAATTTGAAAATGACTGGTCCTGATTCGGATGTAGGCCGTGGAACGCATGAAAACTGACATTCAATCAGTCACAATGAGCATTTTGTAACTAATTGATATACATAATTATATTGATATATATTAAATGCGCATTGTGACAGGCTGAATGTAACTTTGCATGCGTCCCACGGCCTACATCCGAATTAGAATCAGTCATTTTTAAGATCTCATTTGCCATGATAGACTGACCCCACCAGCAAATTTCCAATTTTCCGGTGGGCCAGCTCATCACTGTCGTCAATTCACCTCCTTGGGTACCCGGATTCAAGTTCGGATCAGAAACCTCAAAAATTTTCTCCGGGTTGGACCCAATCTCTCACCATTAATATTGTAGGTCCGGACGAACTTTTATACTGTTTAATCATAGGCTATTCGTCACGATGGATAGCCTGTGATTAAACAGTATAAAAGCATAGATATTACGTACTGCATTAGCGAGATTAACAGTTACTGAAGGCTTTACATCTGACTGAGACAATGTGAAAATAATTTCTTCCAATCCAATTACTGTACTTCATTCTTGGCAAAAATTGTTTTACTCAAATGTAATAGGGCTTGTAGTTTGATGGCGAAACTTTCAAATGTTTGGAATTATTTATTGTTATTTTTTCTTTACATATTTATATTTTATATTTAACGCCAATCTTTATAATAATTATTAAATATGCATACATAGATATTTTTAAATTTTAAATTTAAATCTGTTCTATGTAATCAAATTCAGTTCTTTTTTAAATGTTCAGAGGAGGCTTGAATTTAATGAGCAATAGTACTCAATAAGTACAAACAAATACTGTACAAGAAAAAATTAATACTAAATAAATGTTTTATTTTAGATTTGTGTATTGAACTTTTTAAAATAATTTTACTCATTTACGACTCTTCTTATATCATACTGAACATACTTTTTATACCGTTCAGTAATACTTGTACATAATTTTAAACATACGATTTGACAAACGTTACGATAGCGTACAAAAGACGATTGCCAACAAATTATCATAAAACTATTCAACCCAACAGTTATAGAACGAAAAATTCTGAATAAATTAAATTAAAATTAAGCGTATATTAAATGTAAAATGCTCTTTACGTTCGATACCACTGAACTTGCATTATTTTTAGAAACCATAAGTAGGATTAATTGAAGTAAAATGATTTAATAATCTTTCAGAATAGAATGGTCATCAACAGTTGCAATGCATCAATAATCCAAATGCATGGGGGCTGACTTTATGCCATCTGTGAAACATTTGATTAATAAGACTTGCTATTGTAATATACAAGTACAGTATATACATAATATGTAGTATAAAATATGCATATTATAATTGTATTGTAGTGTGTTGTACTATATTGTAATATATATATAATGTAATATAGTAAATTTATATTTAAAATATTTACAGGTAAATTCAAGTACATAAATTCAGATTATTATAAACACTTTGCCTTGTTCATATAATTAAAAAAAGACATTTAAAACTTTTACTATAAAATTCAGATTTTAAATTTTAAAGTCTTGTGATTTTAAAAAGGAATAAATGCACTTTTTGTGGTTACGAACAAAGTTTAATGCTTTTCCAAGTTTTCTCAAATCAATACTTTGCTGTTAACCTCTAATATAAAGCTGCGTCTAAACAGTATATATTGATATATCTTATCTTACATGCAAAGTCTTAATAAAGCTTATGAGGTTCCATATGAGAAAGTAATCCTAACTTCAATTCTGAAAGAGTTTTTTGCTTTTTGAAAAAAATATATTTATGTGCCAAGGTTTTAAATACTTCTTCATTAATTGTATATATTTTAACTTTCAAAATATTTTGAATATCCTTTGTTAAACTTGCCGTATTTTCATTTCGACTTCAGATAAAGAGTAATGATATCCTTTCCAGGTATACCAGATTATACCATCAGCATAGGACTCATGAGGACCATCGAAATAAAGACCATTCAAATTAGATAAATGACAGTTTTCGTACCACCATCCACCTTTGTAAAGTTGCGCACAGCTATTGTTTGAAAAATCGTTATCCCTGTCTTTCGTGGAAAATTTCGCATTGTTATGTCTACTCAAAGAATCTCCTAGAAGAAAATAAAATAATTACATCTTATTAAAATTTAAACAATTAACTAAAAAAGAGTTTCCTACCAGCAGTTCCATTATAACCAGAAATATGAAGTCTATAATGGTGCTTTTCGTTTTCAATCCAGAACTCGTCGTATAACGCATAAGCTTCGTTACCTTCTTTGTCTTTCATATCAATTCTAAGGGAATAGTTTCCTTGATTCGTTAAAGAAAATATTCTTTCATTTCCTAAAATAAAATAAAATTTTAACGTGAATTTGAAGATTATCTGTTTAGAGTTGCTTACAGTTATAAATATAGACTATTCTACCTATCCAAAAATCCTGGCTTAAGTTACCAAATCCGACATCATAATCAATCCAATTTTTGTAAAAATAGTCTTTTGGCTGATCAAATCTTCCTCTCCTTTGAAAAATCTGAAACGATAAGATTTTAGATTATATTTTATTTTTTAAAAATAAATATTTTCTTATACAAATATTTCTCCTTTGAAAGCAGAGATTATAGAAGATCTTTGCATACCGTCCAACCCCCACCATCGGTTTCCATGTCGCAGTAAACCAAGAAACTACCATAGATTTGCCAGTTCAACGGCCAAATTCTATAAATTCCAGATTTATTAATGCCGTTTTTTTTAATTTCGGAACAATCTCTGGGACCGAGATGACAATGAATAGTTTGTTGAGGTCTTGTTAATGCATCTAGAACTATTTAACAGCATCTTAAATATGATTATTACCTTCTACAGCTATAACATATAAATGATCTATTTTATACATACCATTATTAGAAATGTCTCTTATGCATCCTCCTAACTCTGATATGCTGCAAGAATTTTTAGTGCATGTTGAACATAAAATACTTTTTGGGTAGCATAACACAATAGAAATCAGGCACACGTAGATTGATGTATGCATCTTTTAAATAATTTATAAAATAATATTTTGTGGTCGCATTTATAAGGAAAGATATTACGTGATAATGTTCTTTATCACATGTTCTCCAATTTATCAGAATAATATTGTGAAACCAATTTCGTAAGTAGAAATTAACTGGAAATTCTTCTAAGATAAACTAATAATATCAAAGTTCTGTATTTTAATTATACATTATATATTTGTCAAAAGTATATTACGCTGAAAATTGTAAAATTCCAGAGTACAGCTATAAAACTTGTACTCTGGAGCAATTTTTCTAAGATTTATGAATATTCTACTCAAAAACAATATTTAAAAAGTTAACGTGATTGCGAAAAAAATTAATTAAAAATTATATAAAATAAAATAATTTCTCACGTATTTTAAAAAATGAATATAAAAAGATACATTTTAAAATGTAAATTATGCTTATTTAAGATCATTTTAAATGAGGAAGTGTTATTAAAATGAAAAAAAAACATGAATTGAAATGAGACGTGATACTTTAGACATTTGATATAGGCTTATATTTTATCTAAAATTGTTATACAAATATTACGATATTAAACAGACGTTTAACAGAAAGTAATCTTCTAACGTTATCTTCTAATTTTCATTTTGATATTAAATTTAAGATATAGAAAATATATTCTTAAAAATAGGTGAATAAACAGTAATAAAAAGTCGAATTTAATATATTTTTTTACATTAAATAAAAATACAGTAGGTTATCTCGGCTCGAGATATTGTTCCAAATTTCAAGAAAATGGCATAATACAGTAAATCTGAAATTTGTAGAATTTAGTCGTTAAACTAGCAAATCTATGGTATTTTTCTAGTTTAATGCGAAAAGATGAATGTTGGACTGTAAGTTAAGTGTCTTCTGCAATTTCTGCTTTCATTAACAACATTTGTGTAATAAAATATTGAATTTTGGTTTAAAAAAAGTTTTAAAATCTTATCGTTTTAGATTTTTCAAGAAGAGGATCTGCCAAAAGGCTATTTTCACATGAATTCGCTATGATGTTGAATTTTTGGTTAGGTAGAATAGCCAATATTTATAATTGTAAGCAACTTTAAACGGATAATTCTCAAATTTACATTAAAAAGTTATTTTATTATATTTTAGGAAACGAGAGAATATTTTCTTTAACGAATCAAGGAAACTATTCGTTTATAAAAATAGGCATAAAAGACGAGCAATTATTTATTGTGACATCGTCATAATGCCGGGCTGCAATTTGTAATCATATTTTTAATTTATTTCATTTAAAATATATGCTCCCCACCTCAAATTAGTATTGTAGTGTCTTGCCCTTGTATATCATACTTTTCCTTTAACGATAGATTCCTGCCGGTCATCTATCTATCAACTCAAAAATTTTCACCTTTCAGGGGAAAATTTTTGAATTGAAATAACGTGACTTCTGGTTTGCATCAGAAGTTTGTATATAGTTAATCGGGCCTCCTGCACCTAATGTTTCCATATCTGGTGTCGTCTTTTATCTATCTAAACTCCATTCTTGAGAATGAGGAAAGACAGGCGGGCGACAATGGGAATTTATAGGTCTACAATTTTTTCAAATTGCAGCCCAACAATACAGAATTTATGTTTCTAGTTAGTGAAGATACCGGCAATAATGGCGCAAGAATATTCATTGTGAGAGAGCAGCGAGAACCCTTTTTTAATGAGATGGGTGTCCACATTTTATCATCAAACAAACTAATTTTTAAAATTTAGAGATCGATTATCAGTAACAAATATAAGCGGAAAAAATTTAGCGGAAACAAGTAATTACTTAGCGTAAGATTAAATTCATATTTAAAGAAATCCCCCATAATGGTCTGTGTAGATAGATTCAATAGGTGGGCGGACAGTGGGAAAAAAGATAAAAGGACCATAAAATCTCTTTGCCCATCCGTCCACCCTACTCTAGCGCCTTACTTGGAGGTCGGTTAGGGATCTATTTTTTAGTTGGGTAAGTTGCAAATAAATGTAATTATTTTATTTTTCCTACACTATTCATCAACTCGCCATAATAAAATGAACTTAAAAAAATATGGCAATATTTTTTTGACAATATTTTATTTTCACGAAACTTTCTTTTCAGAGTTACAAATGGTGGTATGAAGAATTGTCATGTTTCCAATTTGAACAGTCTCTATTTGCATGGTCCTCAGGAGTCATGCTGATGAATAATCTTGTAATATCATTATTCTCTATATGAAGTCAATATGAATATGAACGACTTTAATGAAAGATATTCTTATTTTGATTTTGTTTATATTTTAGTTTTATGAATGAGAAAATTTTGATAATTTTTCGCCATACTTTCCCTCTGTTATATATAACAAAACTAGGAAAGTAAAATTGTTCTGTTATAACTTAAGTTTGAAATTTTTTACCGTATGAAACATTAAAACTAGTTTTAAAATTTTGAAGCTTGTATAAAATTTGTATGTTTCGTTATTAAAATTTTGTTAAAAGAAAATGATGAAATTGCAGTAAGATTCGTTACTAGATTTGAAATTTCAAATTTTCAAAGTTTTACTCTAAAATTATTTCATTTTTTTTATTCTTATGTTGTATATACAAGATAATGTATTTGAAATGTAATAATCGGAATTTATAAATGCGAGTAAAGATTATTGTTATATTAGTGTATGTAATAATTTCGTCAGGAAAAGACGGTATATTTCTAGGAGCAATTACATCAACACAATTAAACATAGTAAATTATGAAATTACAGATTTTGAATTAACGTTGAAAGTTGAACATGAAAATACATTTGCATTGTTCTTTTATCTCATTCGTTTGCTGCAGATCGACTCCTTCCGATACAAAACTTTAAATCAAGGAGGATTCTGGAGAAGTTTCGTAACCCGTTCAGCATTTGTTACAATACCTACAACACAAACATCATATATTGTAATGAAAAATCCGCAAAGAATCATAGATTAAAAGTCGTTCTACGTTCCAGCTATATACAAGTTATAATATCTTATAAGAACATGTGATAGTAATTGTTTCATTCGTTTATATCAGCGATTCTTTATAGAGTCTGTCGTGGTAGAATCATGTAAGAACACGATTCCCGCCTTTCTATTTTTAAACTTGTAACGGTCGCTGTCGCGGAAAGACGGTTAAGGAAGCGACCGTGGAATTTTGAATGCGTGGCCGCTGATTGATCTGCAGATCATCACACCACCAGCATGACAGAACAGCTAATTGTTGATTGGTCGAGGATCACACCACGGTTGTAACACTATTACAATGGTGTTACAACCGATAACCGCTGATTGGTCGGCAGGGAACACGCCATATGATATATTTGCATAGTGCTATGCAATGTTGCCACGTCTACCGAATTTTCGGTAGATCTACCGATTTCGGGACTGATCTACCGATTGAAGTACCAAATCTACCGAAAAGTTTACGATAATTCAAGAAAGAAATTTTTATTTTCAATGTATCTAAAAATTCTCAATAAAACATTTCTTTCTACCTTCATTTCTTATATATTGTAAGAGACTTTATTGCAAAGACTATCTCGTTTTGATGAGAATACTTTGTGTCTGCCCCATTCTTCAGCTAATGTAGAAAGAATATTTTCGTAAATAAATCTGTTAAACACGAAACAAAGAAATAAACTGAGCTCTGAAACAATCACTGGCTTACTTCTTACTAAACAATTAATTGGAAAAAATTACTGTTATGATTTTCCTGTAAAAGATAATTTAATTTCAAAAATAACAAACAGAATGTTAAAAAACATACAAACAGAAGATATTGAATAATAATAATTATTATTAATTTCAGAAAAATAAAAGGTAATATTTTGTTAGAAAAATAAGAAAAAATGTATCTATTTAAGTAGTAAATTATTATTTTTTACGTAAATGTTCTGTGTTAATTTTTTTGTTTTTTTATTGTTTTATAGTTTATAATAAAATAAATGACGAAAAAGAATGTTATTGTTTATGTGGAACCTCCTTTCTGCCACAAAAAGTCGATTTACCGAAAACTACCGAAATCTACCGAAAATTGCTTAAAGAATCTACCGATGGCAAGCAAATCGGCGTGGCAACGCTGGTGCTATGGCTCGGTAAGCACTGATCGGTAAGCACTAAGCGGACTCGGTCATCGAGCCCGCTGTCAACGGCTATAAAAACGTTGATGTCGAAGCGGGAGATTTAAGTTCGGTTAGAAACTTCAGGTCTATGTAAGTTTGCTTCGGAACGTCAGGATATACACTAAGTTCATCGCAAATCTTCAAGTGTGCAACAGGGTTCGAGTCAAGTCTAGATTCGTCTCGCTGTTTGTTCTCCAACTGCCGGAAGAAGATTACTTCTAGCCAACAGCTCCTCGATTCGTCGTAAGGTATCTTCTCGACGAACCAAGATCAGCATATTGAACTATCTAAACTTCGTTAATGTAATTGGCGCACCGAGTTAGTCGCCAAGTGTGTGAAAAAACAACTTTGTAAACGTCACTCAGTCCGATAACCACTTAAACCAAGTAGCATATGCAGCTGGCGATCTATTACCCCTTTCTACTATTAATAATTTGTCATCTTAGTACAACATAGTAGTGTTATTGTCACATACTACAGTCGAAGTATATAACAAAAACACTATTACATACTAAAGTAACCTTACGTAGTGTACCTTAAAAATGTGTTTATAGTAGCTTTATATAACAAACAATGTGACATATCCTTTTTTCAACGAACATTTGTCCTACATTTTCCATTTACAGTTTTCCATTTGTCCTACATTGAACATTGTATTTAATGTCTAGAAGGAATTGTCAAATATCGTGCATGTTATACGTTTTACGAATTCGTAAGTTTTAAAGTTTAGAACAAAATCTTTGAAAATCGGTGTAAATTGCACTAGTATTTGCTAGCAACTTAGTTTTAATTGTTGAGAAAAACGTGTATCCAAAATTTTCTGTATTTTGGAGCAAAGTGACATTTTATTTAGGGTTATTATGGCTATCTGGTTACACTAAACAAATACCAGTTATTTACA